TCCTTGTTTAAGCCCCTAAATGCCGAGCGGGTAACAGACAGGGTAACAACAAGTTTATGCTATGTTGTCAGAAGCTGACAAGTTCTGTCACGGCTGGAAGAGGTGACGGAGTAAACAGTGCATACCATCGTACCCAAATTGCGTAGATCGATGCTTATGGTGTCAATCACTTGGTTGTCATGTCAAGATTCGGCTATTTACATATCGCCGTCATAAAGTTTGCAAATTACTGAGAGCGGCATTAAACAAAATGTACTTGACAAAATAAGGACAAAATAAGGACAAAAACTGTTAAAAGCGGCGTACACCCAACTCGAATTGTCAGGTCTCCCATGGAACAATCTCAAATCGATTAAAATATTCCTTAAACCTCATACAAGCTTAGTGATTCCTGGGTACATTTGGTAGGCAGTAACCTATTGCCATGCTTGCACAAGAGTCGAATACAATTGAATGACATGGCAGGTCGTGTGTTCTTGGCTGCGGCGCTAAACACCATTCACTCACTCACTCATCGCCCTTCGAAGTAAGTTCAGTTTTAAGACAACACTCTCATGTACACCAACAGAACATAAATATGCACGCAATGGTGTATACAGCTCATTCTTCACATCAATTACTAGTATTAAAACGACTCTCTTACTCTTTCAATATGTTTCTTGTAAGACTGGTATATGGAATAATTCCTATGATAGAATTAACATTGGCAGTGTTTTGTCTCAGATACGAATCACATCAAAGGTTCCTCTATTTCAGCATGCATTCCAAATGGTTTCTCCCGGTCCGTCATTGACAGAACTACACGGAAAATCTGTTATTAAGCGCTGTGAACATAACCCTCACATGCCATGATGTCAAAATATCAGGACGATTATTCAGTTCTTGACAAAACAAGGCGACAACAATATTATCTTTAAGCCCATTTCAGCCTTAATCAGATGTTGGAGGTCACACACATGTTCGCGATATGCTTCCAATTTTGCCGAAGAACTTTAATGGTGCATATCAGACATAGGGTCAATCAGTGTAATACATATGTTGTTCCTGTTGTGTATATTAATATTCCCCCAACTCCACTTCACTCTAGTGAAATATTATTGCAGGAGACGTATGTCTGAACACCAATTGTTATTTTGTCCGTTGGATCCCTTAATGTCCTATTGAAACACGAGTAATCGGATTAAGGACTCCTTGTACAGGGAATGTTTTCACACTGACAGTCAAAACTACCCCCTGGGGACATGTGTTTAGAGTGGTGGCGTCGAGGATATTTAAACTAAATAATAAAATTTAAAATAATGAAGTAAACAATTTAGAAACTAATTTCACCGAGAAACATTCTTATTGCTCTGAGTGAGTTGGGTTTGAACATTATTCTAGTAACTAGTTGACCCGTGAAGATTCCAGGGTAGAATAGGTCTTCAGCAACTCATACATGTACTTGCCGTAAAAGGCGACTATGCTTGTCGTAAAAGGCGACTAGCGGGATCGGGTGGTCAGGCTCGCTGACTTGGTTGATGCATGTCATCGATCCCAATTGCGTGGATCGATGCTCATGATGTCAATTACTGGATTGTCTGGTCCAGACTCGATTATTTTACAGACCGCCGTCATATAGCTGGAATATTGCTGAGCGCGGCGTTAAACAACAAACAAACAAACAAAGTTACTAGTTAGTTCTAGTTACTCCGTTCGTGTCAGCTTGATGTGGGAGAAAAGTCCGAATTGATGCTATCCCATTGAACCAAGAAACATAATCGCGACGAACCGGGATTCGAACCCGCTATAATAGGTTTCTCGTATGTTCAAGGGACGCAACTCTGCACAGCGAATTGCGGCGCCTCAGACTACCACTGTCGATGTCTTCCGCTATAATCGGTGGAAGACATGAATATAGTGGTGAAAAGCCATACTCACAGCAGTCGTTCCAACAATATGGAAGGTAATAGTAAACTACCCATATAGGGAAAGGTTAATTGATGATGTATAGTGATCGCATGACAAAAGTTAAAAGACACTGAGACGCCTCTATGAGCTATGTGTGATCACCGTGTGACAATCAAATTGTCTCAGATCGTATTTAACAAAACCATCAAACATTCTTTAAATGATACTTATGGTGAGATCTCGTGTTAAACCCATCACGCATTCATGGTTTGAACTTCCTACCTTCTGAGTGACAGAGACATCATCATATATTGATGACTGATCGTTATAGTATGCCTGTACTAATATGTAGTAAATTGTAATAATCTGTAGTGATCTATAGTAATCTGTAGTATTCTTAAATAATCTGTAGTAATATACAGTACTCTGAAATAATCTGGAGTAATCTGTACTATTCTGTAGTAATCAAGTAATCTGTAGTATTCTGTAGTAATCTAAAGTAATCTGTAGTATTCTGAACTAATATTTAGTAATATACAGTACTCTGAAATAATCTGGAGTAATCTGTACTATTCTGTAGTAATCCAGTAATCTGTAGTATTCTGTAGTAATCTAAACTAATATGTAATATTCTGTAATAATCAAGTAATCTGTAGTAATCTGCTTTTGTTCTCTAGGCAAGGAGTTGATTTCATAACTTTCTTATTATTATCGACACTACCGTCCTTCCTGAAAAACCCAACAAAGTTGTATGTGTGGTTATCTGCTTGGCTATGGTGGGGATCTATCTGAAAGATATTCTACTCGACATTTTGCAAAAGCATTTTCATTCAATCGTTGGCCAGTACATAAGGAAGGATCTTTTTAACAAAGGTCACGGAACACTTTCTTTCTGAAATGGAGTGAACATATGATACTAAATATTTTAATAATTATTAAAATTGAGCAGGTTTGTTTTATGAACTTGGGACACAGCAAATGACGGCAAAGACTACGGGGCACCCGTGCACCTGAGTGTTAGTTGCCTGGGTGTCAATGTCCCTTTAATCAGTATTTCAGTAATAGCACGACGTGTCTTCGTAATCTCGTTAAAGTGACGCAGGATGTGGATGCTTTCCACTTCGTGAAACCCACGAGCACGGGTATGATGCGGACAGATCCCAGTATCCTGGACTCGAACAAAGAATCAAGTAAAATGTGTTTAAAAAGCGATATAACGATGAATTATGTCTGACTATCTGGATGAGGCAGCCCCTCGATCCCTTGATTTGATGGTGTGTACTGTAATACGTCCGTACGAATATTGGATTTTGGGTTGAGGTATGCCAAGTCATATAACACCAGAAAACTCAGATGACTAGCATGGACTTCAATACTCTGATCTATAGCTGGTCTTACACCGAGACATTAACATCCATAATAACTGAGCGTCTGGTTCAATGTAATGGAATGTACACGGAGATTCACCCTTCTTTAGTGATGAGGTCCATGTTTTGGTATTACGTGACACGTTCATTTAGATGAGCTGTTCAGAACCGGATGCTTGGTCACCTGTATGTCTGACACTGCTCAGTGCGATCAGACGTACAGGCTTACATCTAGACCCAGACCATACACGTATTGGTTCAGCATGGGAAGTCAACAAGATCCGACTAAATTGGGATTCAATATGTGACCTGTCTGATAGTGTGATTTTTAATCCACCTTTGCCAACACATTCAATAACGTGTTTCTCTTGGTTGAGAGCGATGGTTCCCTCCCCAATCCCGTGGTTCCTGAACGCAACACTCCGTGGTTCCCTCCTGCAACCCTCCGTTGTTCCCTCCTGCATCCCTCTATGGTTCCCTCCTGCATCCCTCCATGGTTCCCTCCTGCATCCCTCCGTTGTTCCCTCCTGCATCCCTCTATGGTTCCCTCCTGCATCCCTCCGTTGTTCCCTCCTGCATCCCTCCGTTGTTCCCTCCTGCATCCCTCTATGGTTCCCTCCTGCATCCCTCCATGGTTCCCTCCTGCAACCCTCCGTTGTTCCCTCCTGCATCCCTCCGTGGTTCCCTCCTGCATCCCTCCGTTGTTCCCTCCTGCATCCCTCTATGGTTCCCTCCTGCATCCCTCCATGGTTCCCTCCTGCATCCCTCCGTTGTTCCCTCCTGCATCCCTCTATGGTTCCCTCCTGCATCCCTCTATGGTTCCCTCCTGCATCCCTCCGTTGTTCCCTCCTGCATCCCTCTATGGTTCCCTCCTGCATCCCTCCGTTGTTCCCTCCTGCATCCCTCTATGGTTCCCTCCTGCATCCCTCCGTTGTTCCCTCCTGCATCCCTCCATGGTTCCCTCCTGCATCCCTCCGTGGTTCCCTCCTGCATCCCTCCGTGGTTCCCTCCCACAACCCTCAGTGGTTCCCTCCTGCATCCCTCTATGGTTCCCTCCTGCATCCCTCCGTGGTTCCCTCCTGCATCCCTCCATGGTTCCCTCCCACATCCCTCCGTGGTTCCCTCCCACATCCCTTCTTGGTCCCTCCAACATCCCTCCTTGGTTCCCTCCTGCATCCCTCCGTTGTTCCAACCTGCATCCCTCCTTGGTTCCCTCCGTGGTTCCCTCCTGCATCCCTCCATGGTTCCCTCCTGCATCCCTCCGTGGTTCCCTCCTGCATCCCTCCTTGGTTCCCTCCCACATCCCTCCGTGGTTCCCTCCCACATCCCTCCTTGGTTCCCTCCCACATCCCTCCTTGGTCCCTCCAACATCGCTTCTTGGTTCCCTCCTGCATCCCTCCGTTGTTCCAACCTGCATCCCTCCATGGTTCCCTCCGTTGTTCCCTCCTGCATCCCTCCGTTGTTCCAACCTGCATCCCTCCTTGGTTCCCTCCGTGGTTCCCTCCTGCATCCCTCCGTGGTTCCCTCCTGCATCCCTCCGTTGTTCCCTCCTGCATCCCTCCATGGTTCCCTCCGTGGTTCCCTCCTGCATCCCTCCATGGTTCCCTCCTGCATCCCTCCGTTGTTCCCTCCTGCATCCCTCCGTTGTTCCCTCCTGCATCCCTCCATGGTTCCCTCCTGCATCCCTCCATGGTTCCCTCCTGCATCCCTCCGTTGTTCCCTCCTGCATCCCTCCATGGTTCCCTCCTACATCCCTCCGTTGTTCCCTCCTGCATCCCTCCATGGTTCCCTCCTGCATCCCTCCTTGGTTCCCTCCTCCATCCCTCCATGGTTCCCTCCTGCATCCCTCCGTGGTTCCCTCCTACATCCCTCCGTTGTTCCCTCCTGCATCCCTCCATGGTTCCCTCCTGCATCCCTCCGTGGTTCCCTCCTACATCCCTCCGTTGTTCCCTCCTGCATCCCTCCATGGTTCCCTCCTGCATCCCTCCGTTGTTCCCTCCTGCATCCCTCCATGGTTCCCTCCTGCATCCCTCCGTGGTTCCCTCCTGCATCCCTCGTTGGTTCCCTCCTGCATCCCTCCGTGGTTCCCTCCCACATCCCTCCGTGGTTCCCTCCCACATCCCTTCTTGGTCCCTCCAACATCCCTCCTTGGTTCCCTCCTGCATCCCTCCGTTGTTCCAACCTGCATCCCTCCTTGGTTCCCTCCGTGGTTCCCTCCTGCATCCCTCCGTGGTTCCTTCCTGCATCCCTCCGTGGTTCCCTCCTGCATCCCTCCTTGGTTCCCTCCTGCATCCCTCCGTTGTTCCCTCCTGCATCCCTCCGTGGTTCCCTCCTGCATCCCTCCATGGTTCCCTCCTGCATCCCTCCGTGGTTCCCTCCCGCATCCCTCCGTGGTCCCTCCCACATCCCCCGTGGTTCCCTCCCACATCCCTCCTTGGTCTCCTCCCAATAACATTAATGAGACTGTCTTTTTGAGACTAATTTTGTCGCTTTATATTACTCAATAATTAAATGATTTGGTTTGTAAAGATCGATTTGCCCTTTAAGGTGATAATCAATGGAATCTACTTCGCGTGAGAAATCTTCTTTTCTTGGTGTTGAACTTTAAATAAATTCAACATCCCTGTATTTGAATGCCAGATAATGGCTTATCTTGTGTTTCTGTGAGATATACAGATACTGCACGGGGATAATGGCTTGCATTGATACTTGTACACGCGTTAGATAATCTGTTAAATAACTACGTGAGACATTTATATCAACGTCACATAGATCGTTCGTAACAGTGTTATCTCACATGCGGGGAACCTGAACCAGAATGCCGTCTCGAATCATGAAACTAAAGAAACCAATTTATATTTTCTGTCAAGTTAAATTGTGACACAGTGTTCCGGAAATACACCAGAGCACAGTCACAAACTGTTTGCACGCATTCGTTCCTGAATAACCTGTAAGATGACCTTCATAAATGTACCTCACTTGACACGAAAAAACAGAGATAGACAGACTAATACAACATATATCATTCCTTTAGCTTCAGCGATTTTATCACACATCTATAGTATACACAAAGAAGCCTTAAAGAATCTATACACATATATTTATGAAGACAATGTGTTGAACAGGGACGTAGTAGTCATGGCAACTAGTGAGTCATCACCGCGTCTGTCTCTGTATTATTGTAGCGAGTCATCACCAGTATGTCTCTCTGTAACGCTCTAGTAAGTCATTAGCGCGTGTGTCTCTGTAACGTTCTAGTGAGTGATTACCCGTGTATCTCTGTAACGTTCTAGTTAGTCATTAGCGTGTGTGTCTCTGTAACGTTCTAGTGAGTCATTACCCGTGTGTCTCTGTAACGTTCTAGTAAGTCATTAGCGTGTGTGTCTCTGTAACGTTCTAGTGAGTCATTACCCGTGTGTCTCTGTAACGTTCTAGTAAGTCATTACCCTTGTGTCTCTGTAACGTTCTAGTAAGTCATTAGCGTGTGTGTCTCTGTAACGTTCTAGTGAGTCATTACCCGTGTGTCTCTGTAACGTTCTAGTGAGTCATTAGCGTGTGTGTCTCTGTAACGTTCTAGTAAGTCATTAGCGTGTGTGTCTCTGTAACGTTCTAGTGAGTTATTACCCGTGTGTCTCTGTAACGTTCTAGTAAGTCATTAGCGTGTGTGTCTCTGTAACGTTCTAGTGAGTCATTACCCGTTTGTCTCTGTAACGTTCTAGTAAGTCATTACCCGTGTGTCTCTGTAACGTTCTAGTGAGTCATTAGCGTGTGTGTCTCTGTAACGTACTAGTGAGTCATTAGCGTGTGTGTCTGTAACGTGCTAGTAAGTTATTAGCGTGTGTGTCTCTGTAACGTCATAGTAAGTTATTAGCGTGTGTGTCTCTGTAACGTGCTAGTGAGTCATCACCCGTGTGTCTCTGTAACGTTCTAGTGAGTCTTCATCAATATGTGTCTCTCTAACGTGCTAGTGAGTAATCACCCTTGTGTCTCTGTAACATGCTAGTGAGTCATCATCAATGTGTATCTGTAACGTCCAAGTGAGTCATTAGCGTGTGTGTCTCTGTAACGTTCTAGTAAGTCATTAGCGTGTGTGTCTCTGTAACGTTCTAGTGAGTCATTACCCGTGTGTCTCTGTAACGTTCTAGTAATTCATTAGCGTGTGTGTCTCTGTAACGTTCTAGTGAGTCATTACCCGTGTGTCTCTGTAACGTTCTAGTAAGTCATTACCCGTGTGTCTCTCTAACGTGCTAGTAAGTTATTAGCGTGTGTGTCTCTGTAACGTACTAGTAAGTTATTAGCGTGTGTGTCTCTATAACATGCTAGTGAGTCATCACCCGTGTGTCTCAGTGACGTTCTAGTGAGTCATCATCAATATGTGTCTCTGTAACGTGCTAGTGAGTCATCACCCTTGTGTCTCTGTAACATGCTAGTGAGTCATCACCGTGTGTCTCTGTAACGTGCTAGTGAGTCATCACCCTTGTGTCTCTGTAACGTACTAGTAAGTCATTAGCGTATGTGTCTCTGTAACGTTCTAGTGAGTCATCACCCGTGTGTCTCTGTAATGTTCTAGGAAGTTCTTAGCGTGTGTGTCTCTGTAACGTGCTAGTGAGTCATCACCCGTGTGTCTCTGTAACGTTCTACTAAGTCATTAGCGTGTGTGTCTCTGTAACGTGCTAGTGAGTCATCACCCGTGTGTCTCTGCAACGTGCTGGTGAGTCATCACCCGTGTGTCTCTGTAACATGCTAGTGAGTCATCATCAATATGTGTCTATGTAACGTGCTAGTGAGTCATCACCCGTGTGTCTCTGTAACGTACTAGTAAGTCATTAGCGTGTGTGTCTCTGTAACGTGCTAGTGAGTCATCACCCGTGTGTCTCTGTGACGTTCTAGTGAGTCATCATCAATATGTGTCTCTCTAACGTGCTAGTGAGTCATCACCCTTGTGTCTCTGTAACATGCTAGTGAGTCATCACCGTGTGTCTCTGTAACGTGCTAGTGAGTCATCACCCTTGTGTCTCTGTAACGTACTAGTAAGTCATTAGCGTATGTGTCTCTGTAACGTTCTAGTGAGTCATCACCCATGTGTCTCTGTAATGTTCTAGGAAGTTATTAGCGTGTGTGTCTCTGTAACGTGCTAGTGAGTCATCACCCGTGTGTCTCTGTAACGTTCTAGTAAGTCATTAGCGTGTGTGTCTCTGTAACGTGCTAGTGAGTCATCACCCGTCTCTCTGTAACGTGCTGGTGAGTCATCACCCGTGTGTCTCTGTAACATGCTAGTGAGTCATCATCAATATGTGTCTATGTAACGTGCTACTTAGTCATCACCCGTGTGTCTCTGTAACGTACTAGTAAGTCATTAGCGTGTGTGTCTCTGTAACGTGCTAGTGAGTCATCACCCGTGTGTCTCTGTGACGTTATAGTGAGTCATCATCAATATGTGTCTCTGTAACGTGCTAGTGAGTCATCACCCTTGTGTCTCTGTAACATGCTAGTGAGTCATCACCGTGTGTCTCTGTAACGTGCTAGTGAGTCATCACCCTTGTGTCTCTGTAACGTACTAGTAAGTCATTAGCGTATGTGTCTCTGTAACGTGCTAGTGAGTCATCACCCGTGTGTCTCTGTAATGTTCTAGTAAGTTATTAGCGTGTGTGTCTCTGTAACTTGCTAGTGAGTCATCACCCTTGTGTCTCTGTAACGTTCTAGTAAGTCATTAGCGTGTGTGTCTCTGAAACGTGCTACTGAGTCATCACCCGTGTGTCTCTGTAATGTTCTAGTAAGTCATTAACGTGTGTGTCTCTGTAACGTGCTAGTGAGTCATCACCCGTGTGTCATTGTAACGTTCTAGTGAGTCATCATCAATATGTGTCTCTGTAACGTTCAAGTAAGACATTACCCATGTGTCTCTGTAACGTGCTAGTGAGTCATCACCCGTGTGTCTCTGTAACGTTATAGTGAGTCTTCATCAATATGTGTCTCTCTAACGTGCTAGTGAGTCATCACCCTTGTGTCTCTGTAACATGCTAGTGAGTCATCACCGTGTGTCTCTTTAACGTGCTAATGAGTCATCACCCTTGTGTCTCTGTAACGTACTAGTAAGTCATTAGCGTATGTGTCTCTGTAACGTTCTAGTGAGTCATCACCCGTGTGTCTCTGTAATGTTCTAGTAAGTTATTAGCGTGTGTGTCTCTGTAACTTGCTAGTGAGTCATCACCCGTGTGTCTCTGTAACGTTCTAGTAAGTCATTAGCGTGTGTGTCTCTGAAACGTGCTAGTGAGTCATCACCCGTGTGTCTCTGTAATGTTCTAGTAAGTCATTAACGTGTGTGTCTCTGTAACGTTCTAGTGAGTCATCATCAATATGTGTCTCTGTAACGTTCTAGTAAGACATTACCCATGTGTCTCTGTAACCTTCTAGTAAGTCATTAGCGTGTGTGTCTCTGTAACGTTCTAGTGAGTCATTAGCATGTGTCTCTGTAACGTACTAGTAAGTTATTAGCGTGTGTGTCTCTATAACGTGCTAGTGAGTCATTAGCATGTGTCTCTGTAACGTACTAGTAAGTTATTAGCGTGTGTGTCTCTATAACGTGCTAGTGAGTCATCACCCTTGTGTCTCTTTAACGTACTAGTAAGTCATTACCCGTGTGTCTCTGTAACGTTCTAGTGAGTCATCATCAATATGTGTCTCTCTAACGTGCTAGTGAGTCATCACCGTGTGTCTCTGTAACGTTCTAGTGAGTCATCATCAATATGTGTCTCTCTAACGTGCTAGTGAGTCATCACCCTTGTGTCTCTGTAACATGCTAGTGAGTCATCACCGTGTGTCTCTTTAACGTGCTAATGAGTCATCACCCTTGTGTCTCTGTAACGTACTAGTAAGTCATTAGCGTGTGTGTCTCTGAAACGTGCTACTGAGTCATCACCCGTGTGTCTCTGTAATGTTCTAGTAAGTCATTAACGTGTGTGTCTCTGTAACGTGCTAGTGAGTCATCACCCGTGTGTCTCTGTAACGTTCTAGTGAGTCATCATCAATATGTGTCTCTGTAACGTTCTAGTAAGACATTACCCATATGTCTCTGTAACGTTCTAGTAAGTCATTAGCGTGTGTGTCTCTGTAACGTTCTAGTGAGTCATTAGCATGTGTCTCTGTAACGTACTAGTAAGTTATTAGCGTGTGTGTCTCTATAACGTGCTAGTGAGTCATCACCCATGTGTCTCTGTAACGTTCTAGTGAGTCATCACCCTTGTGTCTCTGTAACGTTCTAGTGAGTCATTAGCGTGTGTGTCTCTGTATCGTGCTAGTGAGTCATCATCAATATGTGTCTCTGTAACGTGCTAGTAAGTCATTAGCGTGTGTGTCTCTGTGTCGTGCTAGTGAGTCTTCACCATTGTGTCTCTGTTACGTGCTAG